CCCGCCTTAATTGCGTCATATTCCTATTTTAATTCGGCACGCTCGGCAACGCCTACTACACTTCCTAATTCGAACCAAGGGGCCCTTCTCACGCTTCCTAGCTCTCCTCATCACTGTGCTCATCGTCCCTGCCGTTCCCTGCCTCCATCGTGCCCCCATTGTTCCGCCTTTGTCGTCGTCGTCAACCTCCTTCGTTCCTGCCGTTTCCCACCTCCCTCGTGCCTTCTCAACCTCCTTCGTACCTTCGTCGTCGTCGTCCTTCGTACCTGCCGTTTCCCAACTCCCTCGTGCTTTCGTCGTTGCCCTCCTTTGTGCCTTCATCGTTGTCGTCCTTCGTACCTGCCATTTCCCAACTCCCTCGTGCTTTCGTCGTTGCCCTCCTTTGTGCCTTCGTCGTTGCCCTCCTTCGTATCTGCTGTTTCCCGCCTCCCTCGTGCTTTCGTTGTCGCCCTCCTTTGTGCCTTTGTCGTTGCCCTCCTTCGTACCTGCCGTTTCCTGCCTCCCTCGTACTTTCGTCGTCGCCCTCCTTTGTAGCTTTGTTGTTCTCCTTTGTCCCTTTGTAGTTTGTCGCACCTCATTGCACTGGGTTATGTCATATTCTACTTGCACTGTGATATTGTAGATCAAACTAAGATGTCATTGCACTTTTATAAAAACAAACTAAGTCTATCACGAGCGATTCCATCAAGAAATGAGTTATAGCGCAGGAATAATGAAACTAGGGACATTGCTCAAAGGGGACAGGATGGCTGAGTCTGGGATATTGTTATGGTACTGGGGTGCTGCTCGAAGGGGAAAGGATGATTGAGTCTGGGGGAATTGACATTACTGGGTGCTCGGCAGTACACCCACTCGTGTTAGAGTTCGAGTTGGCGTTTGGAGTGGTGTTGACATCCTCCGAACCATCTGGTGTCTGTCCAGCTGTACACCTAGTCGTATTAGAGTTCGAGTTGGCGTTCGGAGTGGTGCTGACATCCTTTGAACCATCTGGTGTCTGTCCAGCAGTACACCCAGTTGTATTAGAGTTCGAGTTGGCGTTCGGAGTGGTGCTGACATCCTCCGAACCGTCTGGTGTCCGTCCAGCAGTACACCCGGTCGTATTAGAGTTCGAGTTGGCGTTCGGAGTGGTGTTGACATCCTCCGAACCGTCTGGTGTCCATCCATGACTCTGGGTATCTTCGTCGTCACTGGACTCAATGGTCTCCGCACTCTTGTGCTTCTTGCTACATCTGGGGTCAGCTATTGCATGTCGTACTCGCTTCTTACCCTTGTCGGACCGTGTCCTGCGGTGGGACTCAATAATGTCACCACTGTCAATTTTTTCATTGCGCTCGCGACGGAGTTGCTCGAGTTCCTCGTCATTCAACACTTCCCACCTCGTATCGCCCGACTTCCAACAGTCTAAAAGAGTATGGAGGTCCGGAAGCGCGTTGGTCACACTGCTGAGGTTTGTGAATGGGATATGCTCCGGCCATCCTTTGATGGTGACCTGATAGCGGTTGACCACGTTACGAAAGTAGTCTGCCCACTGCATCCTGGCATTGCTTTCTCCGGTCACCTTCCCTATGAATAAAATGAATTCTGTGCTGTCAAAAGATGGGAAAGACTTACTCAATTTCTGGGTGATGATTGCTCGAATGTCTCCGCGAACCTTAGAGACCTCTTTTTGATGGTTGCTTGCGGCACCTAGTACAAATAGAAATTAACTTGAGAATGTAATAACAACGGAAAAACTGTACCTTGTATCCCTTGGATAGCGAAACCTTCCATCTTGCTGAGGAAGTCCTGAGTATCGATGCCGATGACAGAGTCCATAAAGTGATTGACACCCGGCGTTGTGAAGGTGATTGCACGGAGAGGTAGATCAGTAGTACCGCGCGTCATATACAACATGACCTCGGCGCCAGTGCGAGAATTTAAACTATTGAGCTAGTAACGAGACACTTAGTAACATTGTATTGCAATTCGAGGGTGCGTACCTCGTTTTCTACCGCCTTCAGGGTTTGAGTGATGTCGTTGATCTTCGACTTCGTTGAGACACGTAACCCAGAGACCTTGGTCTCCTTCTGGTCGGCGAATTCCTGGAGCAACTCTTGTTGTTCTTCCTGTGTGAGAGCGTGGTATTCATCCTTGTGGTCGCGGACCAGTGACTGGAGTGCTTCCTTTCCGTGGCCATTGCCTGTTAATTCAACATTGAGTCATGAAAATGCATATGATACAAATCAACAGACTTACAGTTCTCTTTCTTCGCTTCCTGAGATTTCTTCCAGCAAAATGCGTTCCAAACGCTGGGCTTTGAATGCTTCGAACGGAGTGATCCCCGACCCATGTATAAATCGTGCTGTACACGACGGAAGCTCTTGCGATGGGTAGCAGCAATGGTTGTTGTAACATCGTCAATTTGGCCCCATGCAAGATCAAGCGCATCCTTGAATTGACGCGACTTCTCGGTTCGCTGAAACTTGAGTGCCGCGCGAGCTTCTTTGCTGAGGGTGACCTTAGGACGACTACGAGGTGGTGCTTGAATGCGCTTCGCAGCATAGAAGGACTGGGAGACCATCACCCACAGAAGGATGGCAAAAATCAGCAAAGGGCCTTTGTAGTTGAATACGAATATTTTATACACACCAATGCATTTATTTTTTCTAACCCACGGTAAAAAAACAGGACACATGGCTTATAACTAAGACTCAAAAGGGGAAAGTGATCTACAGCCAAAATAATAAGATGCCGAAAAAGTATAGGCCGCATAAGAAAATCAATATACCAATAAGCTTCAAAATGGACATGAGGACAGATGACGGCTGCTATGGACATTCAATTGAGTTAGTATGACAGCAGCAGCCAAAATAATATCACTGACCTTTACAACATCAGGGCTACGTGGCATGCCCTGAAGGTCAGCCAGGAGCGCCCTAGACAGAATGGAAGCATGTTCGTACGAGAGATCCCATTTTGGAGACCTGAACACTGCCTCCCATCGGCTGCTACGCACAGTTTGAACTAGAACACGGAGCTTAGGTAAAACTTCATCCCCCAACTTAATCCAATCCAGAGCGGCGTCAGTATTCGGTCCAATACTAATGAGTGGCGGTCCACATGCAGTATCCTGCTCCAGTCTTGGTACCGAAAAAATCGGGCCATCATTAGTTACCTTGCCGGGTGTGAAAATTTCCGCGTGCCTGCGTCGGCGAACTCGTGTGTGTTGGGTGGTCAGCTGTGGCGAAATGTTCTCGCCAATACCTTCGCTCATTTCTGCACCCCCGCGGATAGCTGCAGAAGGAGCATCGTGCACCGCAGTTGCTTTCAATTCTTGCGTGAAGGTATGGGCCGGTTGAGCAGAACATTGTATATGCGCTCCAGTAGCAACCACTGGGCCAGGTAGATACTGTGGGCCCTTGACATTGATATGAGCCGCAGAAACTGTTGAATTTGAGTCAGTTGTGTGAACAGTGAAGCCGAAAATGATCTACTACTTACAGCATGGTGGCGGTTGGATGTTTTCGATGACACAACGTTGATTGAACCGCTCGAGGTGTGGCATTGCAAACTCCTGGGCAAATACCTGCACCCAGACGGCAAGGTCTCCGCCAATTCGCTCGGGAGTTTCTTGTAGTTCGCGGGGCGTAATGTAGAGGTCGACAGGGAGGTTTTCGGGTGAAGAGACTGCTTCAGACCCAGCGCATCGAATGAGGACAGAAATTCCGCCATCAAGGCGATCTTGCATACTCAGCTGGGAAACAAGTGAGACATAAATAAGATGCGGACACTGACTTGAATGACTCACGGCGTCGAAGACGTCTTGCAGTGATGCCTCCAGAAGCTCCTCGTGGGTAAGGGATTTTTCACTGGTTCGTTTAGCAGTGCTGCTAAAGGCAAAGTACGACGGGTGAAGGCCACCAGGCAGTCTAGCCTGATAGTGTGTCCCGTCAATGTGAACGTCGTGTCTCAGTAAAGCCCTGGCGGCCGCTTGACGTTCGTTATTGCTGAATCCTTGAGCGAACATTGAGTTGTGTAGATTGGCAAGACTGGGGATGGCGAATTTTTTAGTGGCTGATTCCGTGGTTTGACTTGAGGGCTGAACGGAGGTGATAGACGCAGTGGCTCTGAGGCTAGAGATTGGAGTGACCATTATGGAACCGGTGATGTAGTCTGTAGTTGTGAAGCAAGGTTAAAAGCACAGATAAGCGCCAAAACGTAAAATGTAATACTCACTTTTGCAGGCCATGCAATTCTGGAATGAGTTCCAGAAGCACAGATCAAGCATGAAATAGCAGTGGTCGTAAACCATGAAGAAAATGAAAGGCTGGCGACTTCAAGTTGCTGCTATAGAATTCAGCTGAATACATGTGTTCAGCAGAATATTGCGTTGTCCGTGATTTGACACTCAATACAGCACGTGAGCTCACTTTGCAAGATCGGATATCACACAACTACATAGTACAAAATAGTATACAATGCATATTCATACAGGAATGACAAAGGACTATGCTATGAACGGCATGACACTTCAGATAGCCGCATAATCCTCCGAGTCAGGCAAAGAGTCTCCCTAACATTCAAGAAAGCCTACCAGGGGTCGCCAAACTAGCCTATCTGAATATCATCGTGATGAGGTCACCACAGGAGAAAGCTTGAGATTGCCAACTAACCTATCCAAACATCATCGGCATTCAAGTTGGTCCACCTATCCGAACATCATCGGCATTCAAGTTGGATCAAGGTGAGATCGCCAACTCACCTATCCAAACATCATCGACATTCAAGTTGGATCAAGGAATCGCGACGAGGTCACCATGCAGAAAGCTCGGGGTCGCCAACTAACCTATCCGAACATCATAGGTATTCAAGTTGTTCAATTCTTTCTTATATCACCCACACAATCACTTATACAATCGTCTACCTACTCTTTCTTATATCACCGATCAAACCAGAAAACTTCTCATATATGTAGTCCTATGCGGTACATGAAAAAAAACAATTACAAAGCAGAGATGGTGTCAGTCGTTTATTGAGTACAAAAAATCAGCCATGTCTTCGGTGACCACTTCGTGCTCTTCACGGTCAAGGGCTTCAATATCATGGAATTCCGATGCAGAAGAATCAGGATTCTCTGCTTGTGCTGTGGCGAGAATTAATGCGATATAGGTAGTTAAAGATCCACACTCACCGGAACTAGCACCGTTGGTATTGACTGGTCTGCTGAACGCAGGATTCGCAAGGCGAGTTCCAATGCCACTAATACCAGAGAATCCAAATAGTCTCTCAATCTGATCTAACCGATATGTGTGCACAGCGTTGATAGCCGCCTGTGAGCGCCACTGGCGTTTCAACTCGGCAGCAAGCAAAGGGTTAGCTACAAGAAGTTCGTCGATAACGGCAGACGTGTCAATGGTTTCATCGTGGATAGCAGTTCGGAGCCGGCGAATTTCAATATTGAGTCGAATAATTTCTTCGCGAGCTCGGCAGAGCTTGAAGTACTTTGTAGTCGCCTCACGGTGAGCTGGCCTTGCCCAATCCTTGTCTTGGATGTCAGTACGAGAGTCACGCAGAAGGTCAAACTCGCCAAGGAAACTGTATTCGGCAATGTCTTTCCATGCGATCGTTTGTCTCGGTGGGATGAGGGAAGCAGCCTGGATATTGTAGTGATTGATCGCGTTGCGAATAGTGTCCGAGCGCCGCTGTAAAGCTTTACTAATCTGTTGACGTAGTTTGTATCCTAAACAATTTGTAAACGAATCAGTCATAGTACAAGCGCTTACTAGTAGTGGAAATCTCAAACCTGTGCCCGATAACGAGAGCTTTGAGAGTTCAAACAATCTCATGACGACCAAACGTTCGAGTTCATCCAATGCAGTACGATACTTGCCGAGTGTCGCTTCCTCCTTGAAACGTTTGTATTCGTCACCGCCAATCAACCATCTCTCATCGACAGATAAGAGTGTTTCGCAATGAGCAACAAGCCCCTCGGCATGCTGTAATTTGGCGTATGAAGAATTAACTCGGATGCGAGCTTGCTTCAGGGCGTCATGCATCTGTTCCAAGCTGCCAATATGTACTCCATTAAGAGCGTTATTGCCAGATTCACGGGCGAGATCCCATTCAGCTCTATTAAAATTCATATCAGGGGATGGGTGGTAGTTAGTAGTCGATGGCACGATACCTTCTTTCAGCGAGTTCATCTAGTACTTCAACGTAACGTATAGAGAGTCGATCTCGTGGAGCTGGCTGCTTCAGACCATCCAGATATATGCATTCCTGATCAAAGAATCCAGGGAAGTCGTTGTCGCTAAGGCGTAGCTCGGCCTTGATAGTTTCTAGCTCGGCTGTCAGCAACCGAACAGATTTCAACGCTTCGCGATAATGAGTCCACAAATAATTACCTGACACTGCGGCATCAGTATTACAATTACAGCTTGATTTTTTGACTTACTAAGTGCAGCATACTTATCGGCATCCCAAAAAGCGAAATGTTCCTCGATGGCTTGGTGGCGATGAAAACGGTTAGCATGCCTTGTGCTACGCGCAAGCTCGTTAGATGCAGAGAAGATATGCTCACAACCCTCGCCCTCAGTATGGCCAGTTCCAGAGATATACATTGGGTGCCAGTCAAGCTGACACCTTCGATTGTGCGCATGGCCATGGAAGGCGCCAACCATCATCCGAAAGCCGAGATCGTGTGCACGAGGGCCCAACGTACTATTAGCTAACGTCTTCGAGAATGCGCAACCAATATCGTACGCGCAACCTCCATTTTTTCCATATACCGTAAGGAGTTTGTCGATGATCGCTATCGGATATTTCGCACTGCCAGAATACATTAGTAATATAAAAATTAGATCAAAATGCGGTCTTACAGTTCTCCGCTTCGGATCATATCACACGCGAGAAGCACAAAGCGATGGCGGCATGAAGCGATAAAAATACCTGACTCTTGGAATACGGCAAACATCTTCTTACGTGAGTCTGGGCCAGCGTTTCTCCATCAATTGACGCATGTGAATGCTCCCGGATGATCCGGGTCTGTAGGCTCATCCTCCCAGTCGTCATCATTCCTCAAGTCTGTCTAAAAGATAATGTTAGAACATAGTTGTATACATAGTAAACACTTACTTGTCGGGATTTGACTTCATTCTCAAACTTGTCAACAGCGTCAGCATGAATCCAATAATCCGAACGAGCTGTGCGAGAATCAGATCGGGCGGTGGTACCATAGATGGACGAGTCCCATCGCTTCAGGCTATTGTTACCGTCAATTGATACCAGCCATTCAAAATCGAGGGCAGGTTCATCGTCGAGCTTGTAAAAGCATGCAGGGCATGTGTTTAACATACGCCAGTTGACGGTATCCCGTTTGAGCGCCTGACGCAGACGCTGGTTGATGCGATGGAGGATTTCTAGAAAAATGTCATAGGCTGCCGAGAATTGCATTTTTAAGTATGGCCGATATGGAATCTACAAACTCAACGTAAATAAACGAACCTCAATGTGAGGAATGTACGTACATCGTGAAGGTAACATAAAGTCTTGCATTGTGATTGGATACTGAACCGGGGACACGTTCGGTGCGACTGACGGTAGGCAGCGAGTGTACGAAGCGAGATGGCAACAGAAGGATACATCGGGGCACACCCGATGTACCCATAGTAGATGAGGGTTTCATTCGGGTATTGATGAGACGGTAATGGTCGTAGATGCGAGCGCCTTCGTGCTGCAAAGAAAAAATAAGTACAAGATATCAAGGAACGTTTCAGACTTACTGAATGTATCAATGAGTTCAATCTCATTAATTGAGAATGAAGCATCGACACCTGACAGGACCTGATCTGAAATATCAGGCATACCGTCCCCGGAATCTCGACTGCGATAGTTTAAGTAGGCGTCAACGAGACGATCTATCTGAAGGCCCCAATGAGCGGTTTGAGTGTCGATGCGTTCTCCCCGAATTCGTGGATCAATGTGATGACTACAATGGGTGTTAATATTTGAAGAGTTGTACACAGTGGTGAATACGTACTATCCAGTTAGATCCGCCAGTTGATGAGCAAGGTCTTCAAATGCCTCATGCTCCCCACCTGCGTGACTGAGGTCAAAGGCCTCTTCACCTGGAGGCACTGTATGGGTGAACACCTCCACGTCCATTCCAAAATCTGCCATCATATTTTCGACGCGGCTTTGGTCCTCTGATGACATTTCTAATACAACAATAAGCGTTAATGATAAAAAAAGAAAATAGTACATACCTTGTATAGCAGCCTGGCGGCTGGAATCTGCCTCTGCCATACGCTGGCTTTGTTTGCCAGCTGCCAGGACTTTGGAATAGCGATGACCCCCTCTAAAACCATGGGAAATGATGGATTTCGAGAGCCCTTTGACCCTCCCGACACCTGAGGCACGAGGCATTACTGGGTTGGGGCGACGAAGGCACGAGGGAGGCGGGAAACGGCAGATACGAAGGAGGGCAACGACGAAAGCACGAGGGAGTTGGGAAACGGCAGGTACGGACGACGACGACGACGAAGGTACGAAGGAGGTTGAGAAGGCACAAGGGAGGTGGGAAACGGCAGGAACGAAGGAGGTTGACGATGACGACGACAAAGGCGGAACAATGGGGGCACGATGGAGGCAGGGAACGGCAGGGACGATGAGCACAGTGATGAGGAGAGCTAGGAAGCGTGAGAAGGGCCCCTTGGTTCGAATTAGGAAGTGTAGTAGGCGTTGCCGAGCGTGCCGAATTAAAATAGGAATATGACGCAATTAAGGCGGGGCGGGATGCTTACCGAATATAGCCTATGCGCGCGCGCGCCCACCATAGTGAGGTGTACATAGTTTTTTTGAAGGTATTTTGAGGAGCTGGGGCACTATTTAACGCTGGTGTAGGGATTTGATGAAACCAAGCCTAATTATAGTTGGCGAGACACGTAACTGCCAAGTATAATAAGGCTTATTAATAGGGCAACCCAGGTGCAATCTCCGGTGAGCCTGTGATGTGTTTTGTCACTCTCTACCATTGAAATTTTGCAACTCTGGCCCAGCGATAGCATGTACGGAAGTCATCGTCACCAACCTGAGACATGAGCATCAGTACTTGGCACTAGTAGGGGCCCTGTGCTCCCTTTTGTCGAGAGTAGGACGCTCAGGTGACTCCGGGGATAGATTTGGATTAGATGACATGCGCAGATTGATGCAGAATCCAGATAATGCTTTGTTTCTGACTGTTGGTCCGTGCTCACTTGGGCGAACTGCTGACTAAGCCCTCTGAACCGATCGCACGCACTTGGGGCAATCTTGTCCGATTCCTAGTGCAACGTTTATGTTACCCACATAAAATTATATACCAATATCCCGATGGCAAAGGTTTCCAGGCTCATGACATTTACATTCCTCATCAGGTGCTGTATCGCCTGGTCATGGTCGCGTCAATCTCCGGATCCCTCTGCTAAGCATGATACTCAAGGTTTTTCATCTCAGATGCACGGTAGTTTTTGTGTCTCTTGTATTATTGTATATATAACGCTCTATTCACTAGCTGAGCTATCCCATGAAGAGATTGACCTGATTTCCAAACACACTGGCATCGGTGATCGCGATCTTTTGCATTCAATGGGGGACAGGAATCTTATGATTTGCAGGTGCATTCGATGGATATATGCGTAAAAATGATTGCTTTCAAGACGCCGCAAGGCATGCACAAAGTCGTTGCGAGGTATCTCACATGAGCGAGGATGAGCGCATACAAGGTTTCTCGTCCTCATGTGCACGATTTGAGACCTTCCTTATATTTTTAGTCGCTATCAGGCTCACCCTCTGCGAACTTGCTACAGCCCGCCACCATACACCACCTCTCGAGTGTTCTCCATTTAATAACAATGTCGGATCACACATTCCACATCATGCAGTAGGTGATTGTGTCGAGTACGTCACTGTTGACATCCTTTAGGCGAACGCTCATCGATACATAGTGCACTCTCTCGGAGCGCTCAATTTTGGTCTAGCTACTCTGGGTATCTGCGAGAAATCCGTGAGGCTGGGTCATTTCTTGGCTGTTCTGCTAATAGTTGGGATCAGCCCAGCTGTGCTTCGCGTTTCGTCGATGGATGGAAATCGGTGCGTTCCAGCATAGATGGTAGCTGTCGATCTCACGTTTCACCCCTTAGACACTGCAAAGGATATCTATAGAAACATAACGATGGAGAAACTTGCTCTGATTCGATTTTTTCTCGAACAGCAAAGGGAATTCACAGCTGCACACCAGAATTGGGAGCGATCATCTACAGTTAATGAAATTCCCCAATAAGCACGATTGACCAGCTGATTCCTTCTCACAGGACCTGCGCGATCTTATCAGCATGTTGAAATCGACTAGCGGTAATATACGCGACGTCGCAGATGTGACATCTACTTCCATAATTCAAAATGCGCAATCAGTAGGCGACCTTCTGATCTCTCAGATACAGCCATTGAAGAAGCCCTTACAGCTGTTCACAAAGATGGAAACTACCCTGTCACTTATCAACCAGCGCAGTTTCGATGATCATATTCATTCATTGGACAAGGTACTAACCTATCTACGGCTTATCGATGAAAGCTGACATTCCCAGGTTGATCAGAGGATCGATGACCTGACATTAAGCGTATTGTTCTCATTCTCTGGGCCTTCAAATCGTTCCTGAAGGAATATGCAGCATTCAAAATCCTTGTCGTCGCTACTATCACTCGTCGAATCGCGTTTAACCGCTGAAATTGAAGCAATCGCATCATTGATATCAGAGCAGAGCCTTGAATCTCGGGCAGTCGCGGTGCGGTCGTCTGAATACTTTCCTCAACATTCTTCTAATTGAACCCCAGGATCAAGTTCAGCAAAAATGGTCCGCGCTTGACGCGACTTTCTTTGCTATGCAAAACGTGACTGGTTTTTTGTTTCATTTTGATCGCAGGTTGACATCATCTGCAATCTAGTCCTTTTACGACCTGCAGAGTATGATCACAGGGCTTGCATTCTCTTTGGAGACCTCCCTTTCCCAAGCAATGCATATACAAGAGATCCAGCGAGAGGTTGCAGAGTCTGTTTCACTTCTTGACAACAGGATTTCCCAGCTCACGGAAGTGACTCACCGTGAACTTGAAACAATCAATCAGACGGCCCTTGCCCTCATTGACACCTTTCAGCGCAAGTCAAAACACGAAGCTTGGCTAATTAACCTGCAGTGGCTTCTACGTTTTGTCGAACCCAGTTTGTGTTGCTATTAATTGTGCTCTTTTTTCTGACATATTACGTTAGCGTCGTTGCTCGGCCTCAAGACTTTTCAAGCTGTAACCAGTCTCTTGGTATTCCTCTGGCGTCTTCTGGAAGTGGCACTGTCACTTCTCATGGTAACCCGAGGCTTGACACTGTTGTTTTTATTTTTCTGATGTGACTACCGCAGACTAGTGTCGCAGTTTCCAGCATCAGAAGTCAACTGTCACTCAAGTTCTGTGGTTCAAAACAGGTGCAACCGCAAGAAAGTTCATGGCGTCTCGACTCTCACCTGGAGACAAATGTGTCACCTTTCTCGAATGTTAGGCGTCTGCAACGGAATGACTGTCTGGACCCACGGATCATTCGGCGACTTACTGGACCTCGCATATCTCGCATACCCGATAGGATCTGTCGTCGACCCGACCCTTATTAAACATTGTTACAATTCTCTCTTACCACTTTATGTTTCTGTATTCTCTTTGCGTTAATTCAGAAAGCACAATGGTTTTCCATACATTCCTAAGGCCTTGACAGGAAACCTCCATCAAGGGTGTGAACTTTCGTGGATGCTCGTTGATGTCGCCCAATCAATTCAATTTTATGTTTGTTATGTTAAGCTATTCTTATTTTGCTCGGCAGTAGTCCCAACGAGTCATGCTGGTCGTTCGCGTGATACGCCCGATCGGCGAAGCCGAAGTCTGCCAATGATTCTGATAAGCGCATGAAAAATAAATATAATTATTTATCGTACCCCTCTGCCCCAATAGTATTTGTCATTGATAATCCGGAACGTTAACCGGGTCTATCCTGCTTCCAGCGTCTAACTCCTACCAACTTTCAGCCTTTGTCGTATGTTGTGAGCTGTCATGCTTGCGCACGGTGTCCCTAGGGAGTCCCATATATTTCCACCATCCAGACACCATACTGGCCATATTGGCCCACATGACAACACAATGGACACCTATGCATCCAAACATCAAAGACTTCTACAGTCCTGCGGACAAGAACAGCCCTCAATTACATCAATCATCAATGTCTCTGGTCGTGATAGAGGATCCAAATTATATGTAGCGCCAAAAGGTAACAAGGTATATTTTCTGGCATATTCACTGCATTGTACACCACTCACTAGATTCAGGACTCTTGTGGACAACCTCAGGTCAACCCGTCTAGCTATCGTACAGCTATGGCCTATTCTAAAAATGCTCAACCACACCCTCCTGTGATTCCGCCTCGATTTCAGAAACTGTATGCAGCACCGTGAGTCAGGCTGTTACCCCTCTTCGAAAGTGCCTTTATTTGTGTGCCATAGGACGGGTAAGCCAAATCCAAGCCTTGACTATTCAACTTCTCCCAAGCAGCCATGTATTCCTGTATCTTCCACATGCGGACGAATACCCCTCACCAATTCTTCCATTGTTGACTCGCGATTGTCGTCTCAGCAGAAGTCACAGTCACCTGCACCTGTGAGTCCACATTACACGTGCCTATGAGCCGCAGTTTTTCATGGGCGTTAGATTTTTGATATAAAGGCTGCGCTGTTTGCCGAGGGTATTCACATTGGCATCCAATCGAGTGCTTCACATCCGCAACCTCCCACTGAACCTCATCTCCGCATTGATCAGGTACGATTCAAGTATTCCTTTGTATGAACGAACTAATCAATCCTTATTAAGCATACATCACAAACACTACCAACTCCCACAGAACCAATGTCTCATCATGACACCCAACCCCTGGGAGTCAAACTGGGTAGCCATATGCAAACACTGAATACACCATCCGAACCGCCCAAGCGACCCCCAGGTTTGCAGTCGCCTGCTGGTCGAGGTGTCGCATTACCCATGCCGTCAATTAACATCAGCCTTCCTCCACCTTCCAAGGCAAAGGTAGTGGTCAATCTCCTTGGGTTGACCGGACA